CTGTGTTCTTTTTCTTTTCTTTATTGATTAAGGTATTACATATGTGTCCTTATCCCCCTATTGCTCCTCCCCACTCACGCCCTCACCCCCCTGGGGTCTGCGTCCATTGGTTAGGCCTATATGCATGCATACAAGTCCTTTGGTTGATCTCTTCCCCCTCACCCCCACCCTCCCCTACCTTCCCTCTGAGGTTTGATGGTCTGATCGATGCTTCTCTGTCTCTGGATCTGTTTTTGTCCATCAGTTTATGTTGTTCATTATGTTCCACACATGAGTGAGATCATGTGATATTTATCTTTCTCTGACTGGCTTATTTCGCTTAGCATCATGCTCTCCAGTCTACTGTGTTCCTAAGCTCTATAAATGGTCTCTGTTGCATACTTTTCCTTTCATGACTTCTCTTTCCCCACAACCCCGTGTTTGGGATTCTTCCATGCTCATATGGTAGCCCTTCCATTTACCTGCTGTCCAGAACGCCACTCTCAGCCGCTGTGACTTCTCTTTCCCCACAACCCCGTGTTCGGGATTCTTCCATGCTAATATGGTAGATAGTCCCTCCATTTACCTGCTGTCCAGAACGCCACTCTCAGCCGCTGTCGCAAACCACCAAAGGCAGCTCCTGCCTGCCTGCCAACCTGCTGGTCTCTTTCACAACATCTATTTTTAAGTTTAAACTTGGAAAAAAGAGAGAAGAAAGCAGAAGACAAACAGCGTTTATTGAACACCCGCTGCTGTGCCTGTGTCACCTCAGGCAGGCCCTACACCAGCGAGATGGCACACGGGAGGCGTCAGGCCTCAGCCCTCAGTTGCCAGGGGGCACCAGGAACTAGATCATTCTTCCCCCAGATGCTGCCCCCACTGCCCCCAGGACCCCGAGTCTTCCCAGTTATTCTGAGTCTCCTCGGGTCTCACATGAACGCAAGGGCAAGTTGATACTCTTTTTTCAAAATATAGTTAGTTTTTTTTATTAAGTTCAGAGAGGAAGGGAGAGGGGAGAGAGAGATAGAAACATCAATGATGAGAATCATCGATTGGCTGCCTCTTGCAGGCCCCCTACTGGGGATTGAGCCCACAACCCGGGCCTGTGCCCTGACTGGGAATCGAACCGTGACCTCTTGGCTTGTAGGTTGACGCTCAACCACGGAGCCATGCCGGCCGGGCAGTTTGCTGATGTTCTGCAGCCAAGACCTCCCTCCCCACCTGCCTGTACCAGCCTGCGTTTCTATTGCTTCCTTCACCACGTGCAGATAGGGAAACTGAGGCACGGGTTGCTGATGACAAGGAACTGTTCTGGGGCCAGGATTTGAGCCCAGGACTCAGGGCAGGACACTTGAGGGTGAAGGCACAGGTGGAGTCAGCCGCAGACTCTGCCACCTCTGCCTCCTCCCCTGCTTGCCCCCAGCTGTGTGGCCTCAGGGCTCCAGCCCTCTCTTATCCCGCTGCTAATCTGCTGGCTTGTCACCCCTGTGGCTTTGACAAAGCAGCCGATTTAATTGTGAGCACACAGCAGCCCATGGGCCAGCCACCCTCCAGCCCTCTCCTAGAAGGGGTGCTGTCAGCCAGTTCTCCAGGGCCCTGGCTCCCTCAGCATGTCCTCCAATCTGGTGCCGGGGTGCGGTCAGCAGAGAGGCCGGAGGCAGTAGGGGAATGGTAACCCTGGACTGAGCTCAGAGCCCAGATGCAGGGGTGGCCCGGGAGCTGGTGTCAGAAGGGGAATGTGGGACAGGCGGCCATGCTGCTCCTGGGTGTGCACTGGTCTGCCCCAATGTGCTTTGGTCTGCTCTGCTCTGTGCCAGTCTGCTCCAGCCTGCACTGGTCTGCTCCACTCTGCCACGTGCTTCAGAGAGACATCTGTGTTTCAGCCCCACCAGGGAAACACAGCCCTTGTGAAAAGGTAAAGCGTGCTCCCAGGGGGACAGGGAAGCTGGCTTATATGGACACAAGTCCCCATCCCTAGTCCCTGATTGGTCTGCCTTCATGCTAATGAGGACTGCAAATCCTTGCAGTTTGATTGGTACAAAAGGCACTATGCTGATTGGTCAGAATAGAGCCTCTCTGGTTGGTCAGAACTATACAGCTCTGATTGGATGAGGAAAGCCTCAGTCCTATTGGTTGAAATAGAATCCAGGAACTGCTTTATAAGGACTGGCTCCACTGGCAGGAGCACAGTGCAGGCAGGCAGTTCAGTTCCGGCTTCTCCCTGAGTGCAGGTTGTGTGAGAGGCCTCTGTGTAGAAATGGCTGCTAGGCTCTGTTTTTTTAACATTTGAGCCCAGTTAGCCGCCAGAAGCCCTTCTTAGCAGGTGTCTTCTTTCTCAGGGTTCACAAGGAATAAATGACCTTTTTCCTTATTCTGAGGGGCCCGAGGACCAGCATATAGACCAAAGGGTGCTGAACAGTCCTGGCCGCCAATCTGCACAAGGTTTCTAACCTGACCTTGAATAGGTCCCTCCCTGAGCGTCAGTTTCCTCATCTGCACCACAACCAGATGGCCCAGCCGTCCGGCAGGGATTCCAATTCCAAATGTCCTGACATTTTCCCTGCTCTGTTCCGTAGAGTGTGGGTTCTGGGTGCCTTTGTCAGGAGCTGGGGCTACATAGGGTTCCACGGTCGGGTAAGTTTGAGAAACACCACATTCCACACCCCTCCCGGAGAGTCCAAGGTGCATGCTAAAGGCTCTGAGAAGTCCTGCAGTCAAAGCCTGGCCCACTCATTCACTCTTATAAGACTTCTTGTCTCACCTACTAACACTATTCTAACCTGTTGCCTCGATACACAGCTAAGTCAGGACCTTCGCCCCTCTGTTTTCTCATCTGTAAAAAGGAGTGGCAGTCTCGCCTTGGCAGGGGTGGAGAAGAGTTAGCTGGGAAGTGCAGTGGAAGGGACCCCCCGGGGCGGGGGTCTGACAGATGTCATCCCCGGCCCCAGCATCGCTAGAGCAGAGGCACCCCGGGCCCCAGAGAGATGCTCACCCAAGCTCTTGCTCAGAATCCCCGGGATAGATGTTTGCACGCCCTGAGTCCCTAAGCACACTTCCCCAGGGGGCCAGGGGCTGGGAGGTTTTCTGGAGCCCCCTGTGAGCGCCCCTGCCTTCTGGGGGGCCCAGCACAGCCTCCCTTTCCTCATTCCCGGGCCCTATGAGAAATAAATGCCAGCTTTGCTCATGTCCTGCCACGCTCCAGAGGCGGGCGCTCCAGCCCCGCTCCAGGACAGCCCTAACCGGTCCTCGGGAGGAACCAGTCCTGCAGACACCTCAATTTCAGAGCCTCCAGAACCTCGAGAGAATACATTGCTGTTGTTTAAGTCACCCAGTCTTTTAAAAAAAATCTTTATTCTTTTTTTAAAAAATATTTTTAATTATTGACTTCAGAGAGGAAGGGAGAGGGAGAGAAAGATAGAAACATCAATGATAAGAGAGAATCATTGATAGGCTGCCTCCTCCTGCAACCCAGGCATGTGCCCTGACCAGGAATTGAACCCGTGACCTCCTGGTTCATAGATCAATGCTCAACCACTGAGCCACGCTGGTTGGGCAAAATCTTTATTCTTTAAAGTATTACGTATGTCCCCTTTTTTCTCCCAGTGACCCCTTATTGTCCTCCTCTGCCCCCTGCCCCTGCCCCAGGCCTCCACCACCCTACTGTCACCCCGTGCTGTGGAACTTGGTTATGGCAGTCCCAGCAAACAGACCTGATCTATGTCCCCTGTTCCCCAGACCCACAGTTCCCCTCCTTCCCCCTGTGGCTCCGTCCTGCCCACTTGCTGGCAGCGCTCCTGGGCGCACCCTCCTCCTCCATCACCTGCCTGGCTCCTCTCACACGCCACCGTGCACATCCCCTTCATCTCCCTCGGTCCTCACAGCAACCTTCTAGGGCTGGTGTTGTTATGAACCCCACCTCGCAGATGAGGAAACAGGCTCAGGATGCTGAGACTGGAGGACCACTCAGATGCATCCTGTCAGAACATCCCGCCGCAAGGGCGTGAGCTGCTCACTGCTAAGGCACAATGAATTATGGGGGCCGTGAGTGGACAGGGCCTTCGGGCAGCAGGGCCTGCTCTCTGTTGTTACAAAGCAGCTGCCCGCTCGGTGTGCAGTGGACGAGTCCTGCTCTGGCCAGAGCTTGTACCCAATGGCCTCAGAACCCCGCCCATGGCTCGATGGGAGCTGAAACCTTGGCCCTGGCACCCGGGGGTGCTCAGCTAGGTCTAGACATCCAACATTCACCTCTCCTGTGGGCGAGGGAGGTTAAACCAGGGCGTTCTGTTCAGCCCATGGACAGGGGGTCTTTCCAGATTGGAGTTGTCCCGGTAAGGGGTAAGCACCCCACCCCTGGAGACGTGCAAGTCGTTGTGAGCAACCCCTGTAAGGGCTGCTGTAACTGGGGAAACGTGGTCACTTCCAAGCCTTTCTGTCACTGGCCGTCCTTGAACATTCCCATCTTTCACGCATGTTTAAGTATAGGCAATACTTCTCTGTTGTTCCAAAATCCAAAGGCACAAAACAAACCCAGTGAGATGGGACCTTCCACCCTAGGCCCCAGCCCCCAGGGCTGCTTCCGGGCAGCCCCGGGCAATGCCAGACTCTCCTGCGGTCTTCCAGGCTATGCACGCACCAGCGCACGCACTCTTTATTTTTAAATAAATACACTGTCATATTTTTTAAATATACTTTTTTATTGCTTTCATAGAGAAAGGGAGGAGAGAGAGACAGAAATATCAATGCTGAGAGAGAATCATTGATCGGCTGCCTTCTGCACGCCCCCTACTGGGGAACGATCCCATAACCTGGGCATGTGCCCTTGACTGGAATCGAACCTGGGACCTTCAGTCCGCAGGTTGATGCTCTATCCACTGAGCCAAACCAGCTAGGGCCACCATCATGTTGTTTTTTATTTACGTTCTGCCTCTTGCTTGTTTCCCTGACAATGGATTTCGGCAGCAGCCTGATGATGCGGGAAGATCCCCCCCACATCTATACCAGGGGGGTAGCGCCCACCTCACAGGGATGTCGGGGTCCAGAGACGCTCCTGGCTGGCCTTCTGGGTCGCTGAGAAAGGTCCTAGGGCAGTGGATGTCCAGGATCATTCGCCGCCTTTGTAGCCACAGCGACTTCTCCGGCCACCAGGGGGCCCCGTGGAGCTGCTGGTGGCCACACCATGTCTGGAGGTGACCAGGACTACACAGGAGGATCCTGGAGAGGAGAGAGGGCAGCACGGGGCTGGGACTCGGCCTCTTGGCGTCCCAGAAGCCCCGTCTCTCTCCATCCTCCTGCCAGCCTCCCTGTCACTGTGGCCACACACCCCTCTCCTGAACAGAACAGAAGTTTCTAAGCGATCTTTGTTGTTGCTGTTTTCACTCAGAGAACAGAGGGGAAGAGGTTGTCCTCCACACGCAGCCACGGCCCACCTGCCCCACCCGCCCCATCCCTCTGCACGGGCCCCAGCCTCAGCAACACTCCCGGGGGATCCCGGTCCCCGGGGACCTCGTGGCCTCTGCTCTGTCCGTTTGCCTGTCTCCAAAGGCACCTGCGAGTCCTCCTCTCCTGCATTTGTTTGTGCTGGTATCTCTGTCTGGGCCGCCCCCACCCTTCTCAACCCCGGGCTTGCAAAGCCAACCCTTCCAGGCAGCCTGCAGGCCGGGCACCCACCCTGGGGGAGCCCATGGGGCCCGCTCTGCGCTGACCCAGGCACCGATCTCCCGGCCTGAGGCTGCAGGCTTGGCCTCCAAGCCCAGAGCCAGGCAGCTGGCGGGCCGAGTCCCAGAGCCCGGGAGTGGGCTGGGGCAGTGCCCACCTTATCCCTTGATCCCAGCTGGCAGGACGCAGGACAGACGGGAACAGGATGGAGCTGGCGTCCTGACAGGCAGGGGAAGCCGGGAACCTGTTTGGCAGGCTCCTCCCAGGCCTCTCTGCTCCGTGGGAACCAGGAGGCCCAAGGATCACAAACACAGGGACCTGGACCCCCTCCCCCGGCCGGCAAGCCGCCTGGCTTCCCCACCCCAGAGCCAGTGCCGCTGGGGCCACAGGACTGTCCCAGTCACGTCAGCCACTCAGTTAACACACTTGAGGCCAGCCGGTCTGCTGAGCCCGGGTCCCCTCCGCACGTGGACACGCAGCTCCCACTTCAGCTGGGCCCGCCTGAGGGGCAGGATACGGACGCTGAGTCCTAGGTGCTCAGCCTGCCCGGCCTGGACTCTGCACTGCCCGGCAGAGGGAGCAGAGCGCCGGCCAGGCCGCTCCTCCCATCACACGGAGGATTGAAGTCCATCCAGAGTCACACATGGAGGATTGAAGTCCGGGCAGACTGGCCCCGGTTGGCGCTCTTAACCAGCTAGACGCACCGCCTTTTGGGTTCAGGGGCCTTAGCCTGGGGCGGGGAGCTCTGCTCCATAAAAGCTCTGGCTGAGTTCTCACCGTTTCCGTTCACACTGGCCACATCACCAAATGCATCCGGGAGCAATGGGTTGGAGGTTCTGCGATGGAGGGTGGGGGGAGGCCCCACACCGCCCACAGACCCAGGCTCACAGGCCCAGGCCACACGACGGGGCCCCACAGCTTCAGCCTCGACCTGGGGCCCCTGGGATAGGACCTGCCGAATTCTGGGCGGCAGCCAGGCCCCCGGCCCCTGATGACGCAGTCACCACCGCAGACCTGCCGGCCTGGAGCACCGCCCTCAGTAATAATAATAATTATCACGATGATTAGCATCCTATTGTGATGATGGTAACGACCACAGGAGGCAGTTTGGCGTCGTGGTCAGACTGGACTCAGCCAGGCAGACCTGGCACACCTTGGCGGCAGGACCTTGGGCCAATGATTAGACCTCCCTCTGCCTCAGTTTCCTCTTCTGCGAAGTGAAGCGAGGTTGCTGGGAGGCATCAGCTCCTGTGGGCTGCCCGGGGGCGGTGACGGAATCCTGGCCAGCTCGGTGGGGACGAAGCCTGAGCCACAGCTACAGGAAGGGGGGCCTGTGACACTGCTGTGTGCTTCTAGGACAGTGTTGGCGAACCTATGACAGGCGTGTCAGAGGTGACACGCGAACTCATTTTTTTGGTTGATTTTTCTTTGTTAAATGGCATTTCAATATACAACATAAATATCAAAAATATAAGAATTTGTTTTACTATGGTTGCAAATATCAAAAAATTTCTATATGTGACACGGCACCAGAGTTACGTTAGGGTTTTTCAAAATGCTGACACGCCGAGCTCAAAAGGTTCGCCATCACTATTCTAGGGTGAGCCCACAGCATCCCACAGAACCTGCAGTCCCAAGTTCCCACAGCTGGGCCCTGGCCGGGTGACTCAGTTGGTTAGAGCATCAACTCGATACATCAAAGCTGTGGGTTTGATCCCTAGTCAGGGCACATACAAGAAGCAACCAATGGATGCATAAACAGGTGGAATAATAAATCGATGTTTCCCTCTCCCTTCCTCTCTCTCTCTCTCTCTCTCTCTTTCTCTCTCTCTCTAAAAAATCAATACAGCCCTAGCTGGTTCAGCTCAGTGGATAGAGCGTTGCCTGTAGACTGAAGGGTCTCGGGTCTGATTCCAGTCAAGGGCACATGCCCAGGTTGCGGGCTCGATCCCCAGTAGGGGGCATGCAGAAGGCAGTCGATCAATGATTCTCTCTCACCATTGATGTTTCTATCTCTCTCTCCCTCTCCCTTCCTCTCTGAAATGCATAAAAATACATTATAAAAGACCCACAAAGTTCCCGCAGCTGCATCACCTGCTGGCCATCGGCGGATGAGGGTTTCAGGACACCCATCGCTGACCACAGGATGTTTAGGGAGACCTTCCGCGGGCAGGTCTCCCCCTCTCAGCCTCAGGAAGTGTCCACTTTTAAGGCAATTTGGGAGGAAAAAAAACACCCTCACCAATCACTTGTCAGTTTGTGCAGTTGACCTTTCGGCCTGAATGCACGTTATCCTGGCTGCCCCTGTTCCAGTCCGTCCTGCTGGTTGCATTTCTGCTTCACCTGCGGCGGGCGGTTCCTGGCAATGCCCGGCGGTTCCTGGCAATGCCGGGCGCTCCTGGGGCGTTGCCAGCGGCACATCTGAGAAGCAAGCCCCCCATGGCTCCATCCCAGCACTGATCACAATGGGCAGGGCTGCAGGCAGAGACCTACGGCCGCCCTTAGAGACCCTCTTACTCCAGGTTACGCTGATCTTCACTCTGTACAGGGAGCTGTGAGCTCCCCTCCTCACCACCGTCTCTCCAGCCCACATTTTCCACTCCGTCCAAAGAACAACATAAAGAGCTTGTTCCCAGTCACGCTGGTGTCTGTCACACCTCCCTGCCTTTGCCACAGTGTTTCCTTTGTCCTGGACACCCCGTCCCTCTTCCTCGCCTGGCTGCCTCCCATGCCAGGGCACAGGTGTGCAGTCCTTCTCCATGTCCCCCTCCCAGCCCGGCAGGCTCCCAGCGGCCCCAGGTTCCCTGATCAGGGCACCCTTAGGCTGTGCTGGCCCCGTCTGCCTACCTATCTCCCCCCTCCCCCCAGCTTACAGCCTGGGATCCTGGGGTCCCCAGAGCCCAACCAGAGCTGGGTCCCTGGAGAGGCAGCACTGTGCAGTGGAAAGAGCCCAGGTGTGGGGTCAGACAGACCCAGACAAATGGCCGAACCTGTCTGACCCTCAGTTTCCTCGTTTGTCAAATCAGGATCCTGGCCACATTAAGGGTGGGGATGAGGATCACAGACCACGGGTACACGGGGCAGGGCTCTGGGCCATCCCCAGCTGAATGAATGAATGCCCTCAAGTTTGCAGTCTGGCTAGGAGTGGGGGAAGGCAATGGAAGAAGTTCCTAGAGGAGACTAAGGTGTTATTGGAACCCCCAGGCGGGAGAAACCCCAAGAGGGAGCATTGATTGTGTGGGTGGGGAGGAGTCTGGGAAGGCTTCCCGGTGGAGGAGGTGCATGTGCTGAGCTCAGAAGGGGGCTCCTCATTGCCATAGCTAACAGAGCATCCTCCCTCCCAGAGTGAGCTGCTTCCTGCAGCCCCACTGGCTCCTATCATTTTAATGATGTGCTTCTAGCGTGTGTGCAAGTGTGTGTCTGACTGCATAGGGGTGTAGAGCAGCCGTATTCCGCGTTTCTTCGCTTGCAGCTTTCCCTTTAAGGCCGGCTCTGAGAGCCGCGATTCCTTAAGGATGAGTCCAGGGAAAAAACCCTCTGCGTTATTAGGGAGAGATTGTGAAATGAGCTCAGCCCAGGAGAATCTGGTGATTTTTGGAAGTGCGCATTCCGGATGACGACAGCCAGGCTTGGCGGGGGAGGAGGGCGAGCCCAGCAGACCACAGGCAGCACCAGCTCCCCGGGGTGCCGGCCCCGGGACCCCAGGAGCAGGCAGGGTTTTCCTAGCTGCTGCCGCCTGGCACTCTGCCCTGGAGTCCACCGCCCGCCGCCCCCCCCCCCTTGTTAATCAGGGGCTTCTGTTAAAAAGTAAAGATTTTGCCGGGGAAAGGGAACACTTGGATTTATTACTAAAGGACAGGAAGATGAAGTTACTTTTATTGAGCACCTACTGTGTGCTTTATTGCTGGAGGGAAGGAAGGTGGCTGTGTGTGGTGCTGGGGTCTGTGAGCCCTGGCACCCCTGTCCGGCCTGTGTCTCCCCCTCCCACCTCTCCCTCTCCCATCATGCACATTTCATCTGGGCCAGGCCTGGGCTCCCCGTGCCCACCCCCTGCTGAGAGCCCTCGGACCAGGAGGGGGTCTCTGACTCTGAAATTCCTGTGTGGCTGCCTCCCCGGGCTCTTGCCTGGGTCCTTCACCTGCCCTCACAGCAGGGTGCACCTGCCATGGGAGAGGCCCGTTATGAACCCCCAAATACACATGTGAACCTCAACTTCTGTTGATCAATAATAATTCCTCAACTCCTGGTGATCAATAATAATTCCTGCTCCTCCTCACAGCCTGCCGGAGGACGGGGGGGAGGAGGACGCAGCGCGGCTTCATAAACTGGAAATGACTGAGAATGTGAGGCTGACCCAGCGCGCTGTCCAGGGGAAGACGCCCTGGGGCCTGGGGCCACGCTGATGGAGGCGGGTTGGGGGTGTCGGTCCAGGAGCATTCCTGCTCCTTCTCGCTTATTTCACGGTGAGGTTTTTTACTCACACAAATTATGTTTGTGTTGTAAACAAAATAATGCACGCACTTAAGGAAAAACAGGTCAAAGAACACTCCAATGTTCCGAAGGAGAGGAAATGGACCCCTGTGTCTTCCTCCCCTCCCCCACTCCCCCGGACAACCCGTTTCCCCGGTTTGGGCCTTCACGGTTTGGGCCTCCACGTTTCCCAATAAGATGTCTAGATTTTTCAATTCTGGATATTTCTATTGCCTTCCAGGTGTGACAGATGGGGCTTCAGCTCTCTTAGACCCGCCTGCTGCCCAACCTCCACCCTCAGCATCCGAGAGGGGACTTTACCCAGTTCTTAGCTAACCCGTCAGTGTAACTGTTACTCCAAAAGTCACCCAGTAGCCAATGGCGGTTCCTTTCCTTCTAAGCAGTGGTTCTCGACCTTCCTAATGCCCCGACCCTTTAATACAGTTCCTCATGTTGTGGTGACCCCCAATTTCACTGTTACAAATTGAACATAATTAAAGCATAGTGATTAATCACAAAAACAATATGTAATTATATATGTGTTTTCCGATGGCCTTAGGCGACCCCTGTGAAAGGGTCGTTCGACCCCCAAAGGGGTCGCAACCCACAGAAGGGGGGATGCATTTTCTAAAAAACCTGTAAGGTATCTATCCGTGTATCCCTTCTGCTTTTCTCCATCTGACCTACTCCAGACCTCAGTGACAGTCTTGTCAGCGGCTCAGGCATTCGGTTATCTTATCGGCCCCTTTTGGCCCTGGGTCCTTGCAGGCTGAGCTCTCCACCCTGGGCCCCAGGCCTCTGATAGCTTCTGGCCCAGCCCAGCCCCCAGAGGTCTGCACCTGTGAGCTGGTCAGTTTGTGAAGGGCCGTTGGGGGGAGGGGAGGAGGAAGTCGCTCTGCTCTCAGCTCCTAGGAGAACCGGTGCCCCCAAAGCTTCTAGAAGGTGCACAGCACTTCATGTCTTTTTGCGAGCTTGCATTTCTGAAAATGTTGGTGCTCCAGCCTCATACTTGCCTGATTCTCTCGGCAAATCCTTTCCCCTCAGTCTTGTATAGCAACTGATGGCCCTGGGATCTTCTAGCTCCTGGTGTTTCTAATGGGAAGCCCAGTGCCAGGCTTCGAATATATATAAATTAATTTAAAAATGCATGCACACAGTTTCAAAAATCAAATAAAATTATAAGGCTTATTCACACACACACACACACACACAGTCTCCTGCCTCATGTCTCCACCCTGATTCCTGCCACCCCCCCGCAGGCAACCACTTGCCTTATCTTCCTGTCTCCAAGCACACACAGCTTTCTCCTCTCTCTGATTTAGTCTTATCACTGCCTTTCTCTTAGAGACCAGGAGGGGTGAGTCCACTG